TACTATTCATAGGAGGCCTACGCTCTTTTAATAAGGTCCGAGATAGATCGGCGTTAGGCTATAAGGTGCTCTGCACGGCGCTCTGCTTTAGCGGCGCGGACCTCGCCTACCCTTAGGAGCTATACTTTATTAGGGCCTTAAGGGTTATAGCCTATTAGGGTATCGGATAGGGTATAACGTATTATAGAGTGCTACGCTATATTATAGGTGAATTCTGCGAGCGGTAGTCGGTTAACCTAGTTATCCTATTCCTACGAGTAGAAAACGCGAAGATAGTGCTTAAGGTTCTAGTTCTACCGCTCCGTCTATCTATCCGTCTACGGGTGCTACGCTATAGATAGGCGTTACGCGGTGCTAAGACACCGATATAAGGTTACCTAAAAGCGACTTATAAATAGCGAGCCTTAGTCCGAGATAATACTATTAGGTAGGCCGAAAGTACGGAAGACGTGATACTATAACGACTTAGTAAGTCCTTTTACTATTAGGCTACTACTCGAGGGGATATAAATCGAGTACTTTATTAGGCGGTATACTACTATGAGGATAGTATCCTACTTCCTATTTATAGCCGCGCTATAAACCGGCGGTAGGCCCGTGATAAAGTTAATAGATATCTTTATAAAGGGGCGCTAAGGCACTAGAAGACTCGCTAGTTCGCTATACGGCTTATAGTGCCGTGGCTTAGTGCGCTAATAGATAGTATAGGTGGGCACGAACTACCGGATAGCCCTAGGTAAATAATCCTAAAAGTAGAAGTCCGAAATACTCTTAATAGTCCTTATAACCCTATAGTGACCCACGCTAGGTCTATTATAGAAACACTATAGGACCTTCTAATAGAGGCTAGAGTAGTTTAGTATAAAAACACGATTCTTAAAATGAAGGATACTATTACTCCTAGACTATTATCCGTATATAGTATCGTCGCCGTGGGCTTCTCGCTAACGGGCGTAAAGAGGGTCTTCCGCTTACGCCTCTACCACCTCTTCTAGTAGGGTAGGGGAATCGAGAGTAAGGATAATAGGGTTAGACTTAGGGGTAGTGCGGGAATTATACTGGTTCCCGATAAGGCCTAAAATAAGACGCCTCGATAAGGGCTCTAAAGAAAGATTATCCGTTTACGTCTTAACTATCTTTTCCGGTAAGGTAGAAGGAGCGGGAATAGCGCGGGTACTATACTAGGTCCTATATAGGCCTAAGGTAAAACGCTTCGAAGTAGACTCTATAGAGGGAGAAAGGTTATCCGCTTACGTCTTAACCACTAAGGTAGGAGGAGCGGGTTCTAAAAAAAGGTTATCCGCTTACGTTTTAACTACTAAGGTAGGAGGAGCAGGAAAATTATAACCGGGGCTATTACGGGAACCACCCTAGTTCCCGATATAGCCTATAAAACGCTTAGAAAAAGACTCTACCGTCTTAGCCCGGTTAGTAACTAGGGCGCGCTTATAGGGCGTATATTAGGGCTTCCTGGATAACCTATCTACGGGGTTTAATATCCCCGGGCGGTACTAAATCTTAAAATTAAACGGGGCAAGCTCCTTTAGCCACCGCGCGTACTGCCCCTTAATCTTCGGCTTATCTAGGAGGTGTTAATAGTTTAGGTAGTCTATTAGGACTACTATAGGGCTCTGACTATAGGCTATATAGTGCCGCCACGTCCGAAAAGACTTAATAATAGCTATAAGCTTAGGATCGGGTATACTATAATTAAGCTCGGTGCCGCGGAACTTACGAGATATAAACGTAACGGGTCTTTAAAGCCTATCCTCGGGCTAACTAATAACGGCCTTAATTATAAAAGTAGAAGTGTCGGGCTTAATGCGTATTAGCAGAGCGGGGTTAAAATACCATAAGACCGGCGCTTTCTAGAATAGTAGCTTTATCTCCTTAAACGCGGACTAAGCCTACGGGGATAGTACTATAATCCTAGCATAGCCCTTAGTGGGTCCCCCTTTAAGATAGTCTATAAGAGGGGCGGCTACCTTAGAGTAGTTCTTAATAAAACGCCTGTAAAAACCCGTAAAGCCTAGGAAGACCTGTATCTTCTTAACACTATTAGGGAGTTCCTAGTCGCGGATAGCCTTAACGCAGGCCGGGTCTATACGTACCCTATCTAGGCTATAGATAAACCCGAGGAATTTAACGTCTTTAGTCTTAAACTTATACTTATTAGGGTTAGTATATAAGGACTACTGTCTAAGCCTCGTAAGGACCTCGTGAATATACACGCGGTGGGTGACTAAGTCCTTACTATAAATAAGGATATTATTAAGGTAGACTATATAGATAGTATTAACGAGGCCTGTTAACGCCTGGTTAATATACCGTTAGAAGCTTACGGGGGCATTGGTTAACCCGAATAGTATAACGAGGTATTTGTAGTGGCCGTATTTTATCCGGAATACTATTTTCCACTTATCGCCCTCCTGAATCCGTAACCGATAGTACGTATCTTTAAGATCTAGCTTAGTGTAGTACTGCGCTAACGATAACCGATCGAGGATTTCGTGGATTAGGGGCAGGGGGGTACGGTCCTTAACGGTTACCTTATTTAACCCTTTATAGTTAATATAGAGGCGTAGCTTACTATCTGGGGACTATATCGAAGGCGCCCTTAATATTAAGTTAGAGTATTAAAGTAGCGCCGCTATAGGCCTAGCTTATTTTTATAGCCTTTATAACTCTTTATACTACTATTTTAGTACTCCGTCTAGCTCGATTACCTATATATCTCTCTAGGAAAAGCCGGTGCTCCTCCGTTATAGTAACGATATAGTTCGCTAGTATCCCTTTAAGGATTTTACCTATAGTATTAAGTAGTAATATCGGTCTTTACCCCTTTATTATCTAGTAATTAGCTAGCGGCCGGCCCTCTTTTTTAAGTACTATTATAGTAGCGTAGCGGTACCTTTTCAGGTAATAGCTTATTTAAAGGCACGCTATAAAGATAGCGCTTAGTCTTTAGTATCCGCGCGAATAATACCCGCGCTATCTATTCTATAATAGGGCGGATAGTGCTAGTGCTTATCTTATAGAGATTAGGGGCGTATTAAAAAGCGGTACTATTATAGGCCTAGCTTTTTCTATAACCCTTTATACTACTATTATAATACTTTATCTAGTTTAGTTATTTATTTACCCCTTTTAAAAGAGCTATACTCCTTTATTATTATAATAATATTATCGACTAGTGTTTTTTTAAGGCACCCTTATCTATCTATTATAATAATATTATAGCAGATATTTTATTTCGTAAGGAGACCTATACTTTAGGGTCTAAGGATAAATAAGTAAGGGGGTAAAAAGAACTTTTAGTTAAGGACCTTAGCCTTCTCTGTGTATATTATAGCTAGGTTATTAGTACTATCTTACTATAATAATACTATTAATAAAAGGTCTAATACAAACTCTACCCTTAGTTTGTACCTATTCTTAAAGACGCTCAAGGAGGTTATTATTCTTCTTTATTAAGTATAATAGGTGCTTTTAATAAAGATATTCTACTAGTATAATAGCCTTATTATAGTACCTCTTTACTTCCTAGAACTTATCCTATCTATTCCGGGACCTTTAGGCTATATATCTATAATAAAAACGTTTTATCTTTTAAGTAAAGATAATTAACTCCGTGTTTTATTAGGGAGTAAATAGGCGTTTAGGGGTATTAATAAAGCGCCGCAGTATAGCCTTATTAGCTATAACTATAGGACCTAAAAGGGGTTAAGGTCCTTTTAGATCTATCTAGCCCGGTCTAGGTCTTATAATAATACCGCTACGGGATTAGTTATAATATATATATAGGCTATTTATAAGTAATAGTCTAACTTAATAATATCTCTATCGGGGCTATTATAATTAGAGTAAAGCCCCTATATTACTTATATAAGGTTAATAATACTAATATACTAGCCTAAGTAATACTACTTAATAGTCCCGGGTAAGGTAATACTATCTTATAAAGACTCTTATAGATAATATATATTACTTTTAGATACTATTTACTTTCTTTTTAAAATAAACTCGCTTAATATTGATATATATAGAATAGTTAAGGACTAAAAGCTATTATAGTAGTATATTAAGCTAATAATATAATACTTTCTATATAGTTAGTAAAAATATTATAAATACTAAGTAAATAGATATTAAAGACTTACTAAGTTTATAGTATATTTATATATACTATAGTATTTCTAGTTATACCCTTAATAGCGGGTAAACTATATAGTACTTTAAGTCTTTACTTAGACTATTATCTTAACTTAAAACTATATAATATACAATAAGTCTAGTATATATAATCTTTTATAATATAAGACTTATAAGATTAAAGAAATTATATTCTTAATTAATATTCACTTATTACTTTTATAAAAGTATTTTAGGTTTAAGGCCTTATAATTATATATATTAATATTTATTTACTATATACTATAGTACTTATTAAAAAGAATAATATATAAGTTAAGAAACTAAATTCTATTTTTGTACTTTATATTATAAAGACATTTATACTATATATATATTATATATATACTAATATATAGCTATATCGGTTTCTAATAGGGGAATTAAAAGAATCTTATAGGGGAATTAAAACTATCTAATAAACTAATTAAAGCTATATAACTAGTATACTTATAATAACTTTTATATATTTTGAATAACTATAAAATAAATTATATAGGCATATATATATAATATTATCTTTATTTTAATTATAATAAATTAATATACTATTATATAGTATATAATATAAGTTTAAATTACTTTTATTTATTATTCATCTCATATTACTTTACATAATCAAACTAAATATAGACTTTATAATAGTATATTATTTTAGGTATTATTATTATAGTAATATAATCTTTATTTCGGCGTAGCTATTATTATTTATATAAAAAACTAAATCCTTACTTAAGTAAAAGGATATTAGTCAGACTCGTTAATAGTAGGAGTACGAGGGCGAGGCTAGGAAATAATACGACTAGCCTCTAACTAAAGGCAAAGGCTGCGAGCCTCTGGATATATAGTATTAGTATTAATCTAAAAAATCTTAGGAAATAATAACTTACTCCTCTTAGCGGCGCCGAAGTCGCTTTTAGGATAGCGGAAAAAATTCTATACTAAGTACCTATTATCCCTCTGGTGAGGAGGGTAGATCTCCCTCTTATTCTAACGGTAATAACTATATAGCTGACCTAACACGTATCCGGCTATTTCCTTTATTGTATCGTGGTTATACTATAATAATATTAGTAGAGGATATAGGCAGGGAATAGAAGTAAAATATACCGTGCTATTAGCCTTACGGGGGGCGTTTAGAAGCATACTAGTACGATGATTGGCTATACTCTTAGTCGGAGTTTAAAGAGTAACCTCTTTATTATAGGCCAGAGCGTATAGCCGACGGTAAAATCCTAGTTTTAGTATTAGTATAATTATAAATATCTCTAGCTATTAACCCTATATTATATAGATCTAATATACGTGCAGCCTCCTGGTTATTAGCTAAAGATAATACACCCTTTACCGCGGTAGCCGAGGTTAGAGCGTGGGACTGCTTAAGATACTTCTTAAGCGAGCTGGTGGTCGAGTAGGTAGTTATCTGTTTTATTATTAGAAACCACTTAATTATATTATATAGCTATAATAGAATACTTATAATATAGTATAGTCGGCTATCCTTAACCTTATAGCGATAGTAAATCTCTTTAGCTATTACTTTTACTTAGCCCTCCTAGATACGATTAGAATTAATTCTAAATAGATCCCGAATTAAATCTAAAAGCAGCTCACCTTATTAGTCTTATATCCAGGAAGGCCTAGGCAACGTCCTTATTTACTATTAAGGTACTACTAGTACTTAGTAGTCTGCGAATACTTCTTCGCTATAGTGCTTATTAACGACGATCGCGATAATAAAATATAAAAAAATTAATAATTAACGAGGAAGGAATTAATAATATTATAAATAAGGTTAGTGATATTATGATTATAGTATTATTTGCTACTATAAATCGTAAACTAAAAAAATCAATAATAATTTATTATTATTATAATTAAGTTATAGAAGTTATCAGGATTTATTTTAGTAGGTATTATAACTAGCTACTACCTTAGCTAGTCACGTGACCTGGCTATATATTCCGGAATAGATCCTAAAATAGTCCCGAAATAAGCTAGTTTTAATTCCTATTATTTAGCGATAAATACTGCTCGAATAGATCCAGAAATAGTCCTAAAACAAGCTAGTTTTAATTCCCTATAGTCACGTTAATACCCACCCTCTATTACTCTCCCGTCCCGTTAACCTTACCCGACTATTCCTATTAGCTTAGCGAGTAATGGTCGGGCGAGAAGCATAGGCTATAGTAATAGTCAGGTTAGGTGAACTTTACGCTAGCAGGGGGGTAATGGTCGGGTGAGCAGGGGGGGGCAATGGTTAGTTAAGCTGTAACCACTCCTATACCAATAACAGGCTCCCTATTATTAGGTAATTAACCTGTTATCTTCTCCTGTTTTTCCCCTTTCCCCCTTCCTTCTTCCCTTCCTTTAAGTGAGCGGGGCAATTGAAATGGCCGTCAGATGTAAAATGATATGAAATCATCAAATCAAAACGAGGTGGGTCCTTCTCCCCGGTCACATCCACCCTCGTACCCTGCTGTGGGCATCTCCGTATCGTTTTGATCGTTTCACAAGTTGAGCTGTTTTGATTCCAGGATATGAGCGGCCCAATCATAACCAGGGACAGCGAGCCGCTTCGTCTGGCAACGGCATCCTTTTCAGGGTCTGAAACGTCTCATTGACTGGGGATCCAGGCATTTATTCACATTCTCCGACACGCCGACATTGTGCGATTTCCATACGGATAGGTTTCCGTACGTTGTACACAGAATCCGCCCATGCGTTCGAACTTGCCGGCGGAGCCTACGAAGGCCTAAAGTGCAGAATAGTTTGCGATGTAAGGAGTATGGTTCGTGCTCCCTATCCTCCATGAATCGCATGTGTTAAACCAGTCGTCCGTGATTTGTACCGGCGATCTGTTCTAGGCTGACGTTTTGTCCACCATGCTAGTATTTTCTCCACGGTAGATGCACGTGGCGGGTTCGATCGTTTACGGATACTACAACGTACTTCGCACAGCGGGTTCAACAGTCATATTCTGTATGCGCGTTGCCGGCGCTTATAGATTCTCGCCGAATATACGAAAATCCACGATGGGTGTAGCTGCCGTGCTTATTACGAAGGGATTATTGTGTACACTACTTCGTACAAAGGTAGCCACCTGTCCTACCGCAACAGCTCGAACACCGATCGGTCTGTCCTTATTAGCTTCCGTTAGAGGCCAAGCAATCAGGGGCGCTCGGCGTTTAGTGGGAATGATGTGAGGCCAGGATGTCGGCTCGGCGCCAACTCCTGATAGGTCGAACAACCTACTGTACCTGCATAAGACAGAGCAGTGCGACAGTGCCGCAATCTGTCGTGGCACCATGGCCACAGTGGTCTTGTCCCTTAATCTCATAAGAGCAGAACTCCAACAGGGATACGGGAGTCCCGAAATCTTGGGCGTCTTGTCTAACGGCGACGGTACATACGAATAACCGCTCTCTCTGGAGTCTGCAACGAACCTCCTATTCGTAGGGTCGTGGCCGGGGCAGACGGTCGTACCGTACTGTAGCCAATCTGCTGACCCCTGTTCCAACCCATCGGTTGAGTTGCTTCGAGCGTCCTTGATGGGGGTGGGGGGGGGACATTGTGCAACTAAAAGCCCTCGATGTCCATATCACTACGTCCTTTTCTCCTCCCTTCTCCTCTTCTTTTTTTTCTTTTCCTCTTTTTTCTTGCTCACCCACGGCAGGTCTTCTCTTCATTCTTTTCTCTCTTGCTCCAGTCATTCCTTGTGTCCTTGTGACAACTTCCATTCCTTCATTTTTTCTCTGCATTATTAACCGGCGCTTCTGCCTCACTTGACGAGCGCAGACTCACCCGTTCACTTCTTTTCGAGGTCTTCGACTTTGAAATTCACTTCACTTCAACCAAGCAAACTGTGTCTGCTGGCTGTTTCTACGCGGAATCGACTTTCTGCTTTTTCCTCAACTCTTCTGCCATATACTGCAACTTGCTGCTGCCCGGACTACCCTAGTGGAAGCCCCTGAAATACTGCCACAATAGCGTCAACGTGCCGTGTCGTGCCGCTCACCAAACACCCATAACACCCATAACACCGCCAACATAACCTTTCCCACTCGTCAAACGCCAGTATGAAGTCCTTCATTGCTGCCGCTGGCCTCTTGGCCACTGCCAATGCCTACCAGCCAGGCAGCTTCTTCCTTCGCCGCTCCAACGAGACTATTCCGTCGGCCATCCCCTCCATTTCGGATATCCCATCGCCGTCAGCTATTCCGTCCGTTTCTGATATCCTGTCTTCTTCGGATATCCCATCGGTGTCGGCTATTCCGTCCTCTGATATTCCTTCGATTTCCGATTTCCTGGCTTCGTCCGCCATTCCAGAGTCCTCGGCCCCGGCCGGTTTCACCACACTGACCGTCGAGGTTACCGAAGTAGCCACCATCACCTCCTGCGCACCCACAATCACCGACTGTGCTGCCGCGCTGCCTACCCTCCGAGAAGAGGACCTCGAGACTTTCATCATCACCCAAACGGTCCGACTGACCGAGACCGTCTGTCCCATCACCGAAGTCGAGAATATCTCCGAGTCGGTCATTCGAGAGCACGAGACCGGAACCCTTACCGGCAGCATCATCACCTCTGAGGCTCCCTCGGCCGTCCCGTCCCTATCCGAGTCTAGTGTGCCTCCCCAGACGACGACTTCGGACGCGATCCCTGGCATTGGCGAAGGCGACGATGAGGATGATCTGGAGGAAGATGAGGAGGACGACGACGAGGACGACGACGAGGAGGATAGCTGCCCTGTCGACGAGGACGAGCCCACCACTACTACGACTGCCACCACCACCAGCACCGTCACCGTCACCGTGCAGCCTCCCGAGGGCCCTGAGCCTACTCCTGGAAACGGTTCCTCCGATGACACCGATGATGGTTCGAACAGCCCGGGCGATGGTTCTGAGGGTGACGGCCAGTGTGTCTGCCCCACTGCCGTGACTGTCACCGTTCCTGCTTCAACCGTCACCGTCCCTGCCTCGACCGTCTATGTCACCATTGGCGGCCCCACCCAATCCGACGCTTCTCCCGTTCAGCCCGGCCGGCCTACTCCCGCCCCCGGTCAGGACGAGGACGACGAAGACGTGGCGGACGAAAACGATGATGACTTTGAAGGCGTAGAGGAGGACGATGATGAAGATGAGGACGACCTGGAGGACGAGGAGGTTGCGGATGAGTGTCCCGCCGAGGACGAGGATGAGGAGGACGAAGACGAAGACGCTGCTGAGGATGAGTGCCCGGCTGAGGATGAGGACGACGAGGATGATGAGGACGATGAGGAGTTTGAGGATGAGTGCCCGGCCGAGGACGATGATGAGGAGGATGAGGAGGACGAGGAAGACGTCGTCATCATCGACAAGACCGTTACCGTCGAGCCCATCCCCTACCCCACCGGAAGCGCCCTTCCATCCTCCGGCTTCGCTCAACCCACCGGCGCTGCGTTCGTCCGCCGCAGCCGCTTCCGTCCCGCGTACTAAGCTGCGCCACGCAGCAAAGGACCAACCAGCCCCAACTCCTGGGACTCCAAGGACAAGCACTTCACATGAGTGTGCGTAGATTCTTAGAGACAATGCGTGTCTTATATTTTCCATACGCAGAGGGGAATCTACATATTCATCCAGGCAACGCCCTTCGTTAGTTCTGTTTAGGGTGTGTGTTGGATATCTCTCAAGTTGTACGGTCTAGAGCCCATGTTGTATATTTCAGTTTTGAGCTGTTGTGCTGGATGCCCAGCTCTTGGCCAGACCATTCTCATTCTCAGTGTATATATATTTACTTTATTTCAAGCATCATCATGTGGCTTTATGGCCGCTTTCCCCATGTCTGCCTTCGACGAGACCTAGACGGAATCAAACAAAGTCACGCACTGCGTGTGCCCATGTCACTGTGCAGGAGAACGTAACGGTCTACTTTTGTAAGCTTCCACCTGCAGATTGTATCGGCTCGGCACACCCGATATGAGGATGTGCCTTGTATGGGGAAATGTCCTTCAGGAAACATAGATTCTTCTACAGGATGAGGCACAGGAAAGGACTCAGTGAAAACTACCTTACTTGTGGTTAAGTGCCATGACCCAACCGAGCTTAGGATAACCAGTAACAGATTGTTATCAATTAATAAGTCTTCTTGCGTATTTCTGCTGGTTATTAACCCATCACTTTTCAGCTTTATAAACTTGTAATTCAAATTGAAATTTGCGCCTCAGAGTCTATAGTGTTTACCCCCATTCCTTTTTTTTTTTACCCGCTCTATATATTCATGCAGAGATTAATAGTGTGAACCATACTTTCTCCCCTAGCTGAAAAAATGACACAAGACGAACGGGATGTCCCTATTGTGAGCATATGAGCTGGGAAGCGTCAAACCTCGGGAAGAAAAAGAAGAAGAAAAGGAGAAAAAAAAGAGAACCCCCCCCCC